AAAGCACGTGCACGCGTCTCTGGCGCTGCACGCTCGGCAGCACACTGCCATGGCTGTACCCACAGGACTCTCGTCAGACCTGATTGGTCTGCGAGAACTTGGTCGGCTGTTCTAGACCTTTCCCTATAAGCGGATTGGGCAGAACATAGTCAATCTGAACGGGATGTTATAAATGCACACAGCATTTTAGTGAGGAGCACTTGCTGGTTTTGAATAAATGGCCTCGTGACCGGACAACGGTCGTATGAATTATAAGTGCCAGGCTAGATCATAACAGCAGTACAAAAAGAGTTTACCAGCAAAGAGGTGTTGGGTAGACTACCAATGAGTGTTAACATTAAAACATAGATATCCAAAAGGAGACGTAAAAGCAAAATATTCATAATCCATTCTTAGCACACTCACAAACTGTCGCTTTTTGTCAGACTCCAATTTCGTCACGGCGTGCTTGCTCTCCTCAATCTTCTTCTCGTCATATACAAAGTCTCGCGGAAGGAACCTACACGTAGAGGTCACACATATCACATGGGTCTTACTTCTTTTCTCGAGCCCTCACACTGAAGTCATTGACCATCCTCTGGAAGAGCGTAACAGTCCACAGACCGTTTTCCTGATCTTCATAAATGAGTCTATAGAGAAGGATAATGCAAACAAGGGCAAAAGTGCTCACTCAGAGGATCGCGGAACAACCATGTCCGATAGGGTTTCATAGCTGGACTTCCATTCGCCATATAGTGGTCTGTAAGAGGGAGAGAGTATGTTAGAAAAACGGGCGGGCGTCCGTGACTTACTTAGGCACCACGACCACCATTGTGGTGAGGTACTCAGAGCCCAGTATGAATTGCTGCTTCTTTACAATGTCAGCCAGATTCCTCGTCAACAAACTGCCACTACACCCAAGGGTTTAGTCACGCGGAGAAAAGTACTTACGTCTGTTTGCGTTCTATGGACTGCAGTGAACCTTTGATGCTATTGTATGCTGATGACTTGTTGCGGAGGTCCGTCTCGATTCTAGTAACTTGCTAAGAGGTAGAAGAGATTAGGGCAACACATATGAATGTGATTACTTCTGACATAATGTCGTGCAGCGCTCGTAGGGTCTGTTTCGTGGGGTATTTGGCGCAATCCCACTGAAACTTCGTCACGTAGACATTGGGCGGCACTTGTGAAGGAAATGATAGAGCGTAAAATGTGTCTTACCTCCACCAACGTTCAGATTGTCCTCCAACTTGTGACGTTGTTCCTCCAGAACCTCGCCCATGTACTGCACCAATTTTCGAGTGATACTGAAGATAAAAGGAAACATTGGAAGATGGATCCAAAATGACAGGCATGATTTGGGTGAATGCCATTATGACCTAAAATTCTACCTTATTGACGTTTAACCGCAAAACCACGCCGACCCTTTGCTAGTCAAACTACGAAGACAGGGTCATGAATGGGAATGTTGAATAACGGTGTTTGGAATACTTTGCTGTCCTCGGTTTAAGGACTCACACTGCACGCTTTGTGGGGTGTGGCAAGAAAGATATGCTTAATACGAGAGGATTGAGGCAAATATAGCCTTTACAGTTCCGACGATTAGGATAGATATATGGGCATCTTTCGATCGATACGCGATGAACAATCGAATGAAGCAACTGCATAGGCAAGCAAATTAATCCAATTCCGTGAAAAAAGAACAATATTGTGCAGGGTAACCAACTATCATTAAATAATATAATTATTCGGGAATATTCACCTCAACCAATGAGAAGGATTTTTGCAAGACAAACGCCTGGAAAGTTGGCCTTTCTGTTAACTGTACGCCAATCAATAAAAAGTACAACACCACTCAAAAGTGGTATGACAATGCTACCTGAACAACTTACTGTTTGAACCTGTTGGATAGATGTTTTACAAAGTTTCGACTGAACTTCCCTTGTAATAGCTAACTTTGCAGACGGAATTTTAAGTACAGGAGGCAATTAATAAGTATTTATGAGATCCACTGTCGAGTTACAAACATTTTCGGTGAAGAGGGTCAAATTCCTAAACCCCATATATTGAAATGCCGGTTTAGCAATTGTGATAAAGACAACCTAAGGCAAGTTCGTAAAAATGCAGAGACATATCTGTCCATATTTACCCGGGCAACGTGTTAATATCTCTTAAACCAACTTAGTGCCAAAAAATGTTGCGGCACATTACGACGACAACTGAACCGAGCGCACATGGATACAAAAACGCTGATGTGGGGAGCAAAGGTTGTATAGTAACCAAAAAAGGTTAAAATTGCATATAACAACCCATGAGACAGCTGCAAGCGAATAATGCAACCGGATATAGGCACGGGAGGATAAGATACCGCAGTTCGCGTAATCTGAACGGTATTAGGTATGCAGTGGTGGCGGTTGTTTAGCAACTACCTTTTGTGAACAGATCAGCGTGGAGAAGGAAAGGTTTAAAATTGTCCTCATGGGCTTCGTGAAGCAACACGTGCAACCCGAATTTTGAGCCATAAAGGTAAAATAAGGGAAGATGACGACAAAAATACGAGCAAAGGCACAGCACCATGTCGGGCACAAATTTTTAGGGCACCAGAACAGTCTGCAGTTGCCGATAATACAACAAGAAGGTTGCAACGGAAAGGGTCTCAGAGGCTAAACAATACCGATATCAATAATGCAAAACTGCGAAAACGTTACGATAGCAAGGTCCTTAAGGAATTCAATCGAAAACTAAAAGAAAAAGGGTGAGCACTCTTACACTACTATGCACGATAAATGAGCATGTGGTCGAGGCCAGCTATGTGAAATCAACGACCCTGATGGCAATGTCCTCGGTACACAGGTTCTACTGGTCCAAGGTCGGACCAAAGGGGCTAGGGAACTAGACCTCTAGACCCTTTGGTCCAACATAGGACCAGTAGAACCTTTGCACCTAGGACACTGTTATAAGGGGCCGGCAGAGTTCCGAAATGCTTTCTGAATGGCTAAATTAGTCCTGTCCATCCGAACTTCAAAATGAAATTCATTTAATATTTGCTTACGTATACGCAGAAGTGAAGTGCATTTTCAAGCATTTTCAAAGTGTTTGTTTGAAACTTCATTTCTATTACGCAGTCTCATACATGATGCAGATTACCCAGATAAAAATGTCCTGGATGAAATTGTTCTACCGGTCCTAGGGCGGACCACAGGGTCTAGGGTTCTATTCCTTAGACCCTTTGGTGCGACCTAGGACCAGTTGAACCTTTGAACCTAGAACATTGCCATCAGGGGATTAAACAGGTGCATAAACCGACCATGTAAATACCACAAGGAAAGACAATACAAACAAAAAAGTAATGTTATAAAAATATTACCTTTCGGCAAAGGAATCCAATTTGGCTAATTCCTCAGACAGGCCAACTAAAACGTCCAAGGTTCCAACCTGGGAGAAAAATAAGAAGAGCTAAATGTGTACCTTCAAAACAGGAATGGAAAATCTGGTCATTGATTGTGGGCCAGCAGCTAGTATTCCAGAATACTTGGAAAGTTGGCTAACTAGCCTGGAATAAGCATTATCAGGATTTCCCTCAGCGGGAACCGAAATTATCAAAAATTGAGACATTCTCCTAAACCTGCACACCACTTTCGAGTTAGCGGTCAAAATTCTAACGGAGTTAAACAATATGTAAGTTTATATTTCATGTTTCATCAGTAGAGGGTAGAGAACAAATCCGTGGACAGCCCTTCTTTGCAGTCACCGGAAATTTGGGAGTTTTCAGCTAAGACCAATCCCCCCCGCCAAAGCAAGGGCACTCCCGTGAACGGTACAGATCATGTTTCAAATAGGGCGTCGTATTTCTTCTTGAATGCAGCAACTGTGTCGGCAGCAACAACGTCGGGGGGGGAAAGAGATTGTTACATGAATTCACAGCGCGCCTTGGGAGTCGGTAGACGTTCGGGAGGCCATCTGTCCGTTGTAACACCAGTTTGAAGCAGTGTCCTCGCGATGGCATGTCAATGGCTAGTTTGAAGTTCTCTGCGACCTCCGGTATATCACCGCAAACGATCACTTTGTACATCATGATTTGGTCGCCTCTGGAGCGTCGAACTTCGAGGGTAAACAGGTCCAGTGCTTTACAGCGCTCCGGACAGGTCAGCCTTCTCACTTCGGGCACCATTCTTGACCCCAGTCCTTGAACATATTCGATGGCGGTC